TGCCCAGCTCCTGTGGCATCAGGCCTGGTTAGAGGCTGCTCTGTGCTCCCCCAGTTGCTAGGGCCCTGCTGCTGGTTGGGGGCGGTTCTTCCTGCCTGTGGTTGATAGCTGAGGCAGCCCCCCGGGGCATCGGGGGGAGGGGGCTGGTGTGTTTGCTTGGCAGCTGCGCACCCCGCGTGTGCGTATCAGGCCCTTGGTGGGAGGAGAGGGGAGGGGGAGCCACTGTTTTATACCAGAATCTATTTTGATAACTGCAGCCCAGGAGAGTGGCCTGGGCTCTCCTTTCCCCCGGCCCCGCCCCACAGGGGAGACCAGAGCCCCTCTTCTCTCCTCCCAGTTCTGCCACGCCCCCTCCCAAGAGACCACATGCTCTGGCTGTGGCCAGGAGTGCTCAGGAAGGAAGAGCTGGATTTAGCCCTCTGGGGCTGGCCCCCTGCCTGTCTTGCCCCTGGCCCAGGGTCTGCTCAGCTCTGCCTGAGCTCCCAGGCTCCGCACACCCCGTCAGCTGGGGGCGCTGGGTCTGTTTGGGCGGTGAAGGCCTGGCCTTTCCTCCTGGCTTTGTTGCCTGGTGGGGGAAAGTGGCGGACGCCTGTGGACCCCTCCCCATTGGTATTTATGGTGGTGATGGCAGAAGGGCTGGGGGCTGCCCTGGCCGAGTTCAGATGCAGTAAGTCCGAAATGCAGTCGGAGTTCTCCTTCCCCAGCGCTGCCCACGGGGCTGTGGTGCCGCAGGGAGAATCCACCACCCATGTTCTTTGTTACGACTTTGGAGTGAAATAAAACCTCTTCTGGGAACCTGGCGTGGGCTGGGCTCTGGCTCGCCGGCTGGGGAAACGCAGGAGCCCAGGGCGGGTGTGGGTCTCGCAGGGGGAAGGCTGAGCTGGGAGCTTCCGCCATGCCTAGGAGGGGGAGGGGTCACTGGCACCTGGGCTCTGGTCTTGCCCCCTGCTCCACCCTGGGCTGGCCACCACCCCGAGGTCCTGCCACGAGAAGCAGGCGGGGGCCTGAGGGAAGAGGCGGGCAAGGCCTGGACCTTGGGGCCAGAGGAGCAGCGTGGGCAGGAGAAGGAGGGGCATGAGGGCGGAGTGTGGGCGGGGCTCTTGCCCTGATCCCCTTTTGGCAGTGGCACTCCACTGCCGTGAGCTGGCCCCTGCCTGTGAGTCCTCCCCACCGCCCATGGGGCCCTAGGAAAACAAGCCCAGCAGGCCTGTGCACAGCACCTCGCACCGTCACGCCGGACCCAGGCTGCCTTCGCCCTTGGCTCCAGTTCTCACGATGGAGAAGTTACTGGAACATGCAATTCAGGTGACTGGCTGGGGAGCCCACGGTCACACGAGCAACGACATCGTAACCTGCTGCCCAGAGCGGCCACGTGCCCGCCCGCTTCACGGCCCGTCTCGGGGACGCTGTGCGCCCAACGCCCTCTGCTGGCACAGGAATCATAGAATACTAGGACTGGAGGGACCTCGAGAGCTCATCGAGTCCAGTCCCCTGCCCCCACGGCAGGGCCAAATACTGGCTAGACCATCCCTGAGAGACATTTATCTAACCTGCTCTGAAATATCTCCAGAGATGGGGATTCCACAACCTCCCTGGGCAATTTATTCCAGTGTTTCACCATCCTGACAGTCAGGAACTTTTTCCTAATGTCCAACCTAAACCTCCCTTGCTGCAGTTTAAGCCCATTGCTGCTTGTTCTATCCTCAGAGGCCAAGATGAACAAGTTTTCTCCCTCCAACTTATGACACCCTTTTAGATACCTGAAAACCGCATTGCCCAGTGACCTTCCTGCGCTGGGCAGGGTGTCCCCTGGAGTTCGGTGTCTACTCGGGGACCCCCAGAGACTTGTGTGCGCCTTTCCTGATGTTACACGTTTGTAGCTGGGCGTCCATTGCATTAACTTCCAGGGCTTCAGTTACATCCCGATCCAGCCAGGGGAATTCATCTGGTCTGACAAACCTGCTTTTCACCTCGCCTGGTGCTTTGCTCCAGCCTCTGAGAACATCGGCCCGTGATCTATGCCGTGGTGTCTGGCTGTGCTTGTCACGGGGGTGCTAAGGAGCAGCCTCACCCTGGCAGCACTGGAAATCCCAATGGTCTTGGGTCACCATGTGAGCTGTTCTACGTGCCACAGCTGGCCCACAAAGCATGGGGGAGGGGGGACGGGTGATGCCGGTGGTCACCTACGATCCTGACCGCGGAACATAGATCCCCTTGTGGCCACAGTGACCCCAACTCGTGGGTCACGCGCAGTAAGAACAGGGTTGGGGCCATGTCTGGGGCCCCAGGGAGTTCTTGGGCCTGGGCTGTTTCATATTTGTATCCCTGACCTGGCAGGCTCATGGCCTGCGGGGGTCCCAGAGGCTGGGGAGCAGTTGGTGAGGAAGAGGGCAGGCCCTGATACGGAAGGTTTTCCCTCTGCCTCTCCGCCCTGTTGGGCTGGTGCCCACAGTTCAAGGCAGGGGTTGGGAAGTAGGAGAGGGGGCAGAGGAGCCAGGAGAATGAAGGAGCAGAACTGGTACTTGGTAGCAACAGCCCCAGGAGCTCAGGCTGCTTGGCCACCCAGAGAGACAGCTGAGGGGTCTTAGTCTGTAGGCACCAGCCGGGAGCACAGGCAGTGCCCCAGTGCAGCAGAACCTGAACTGCCAGGGGCCTGGAGCTGAAGCTGGGCAGTTCGGGCTGGCAACGGGGACTAACCATGAGCCAATTTCCCCGGGAGTCTCCATCTCCAGCAGTGGAGGCTGATGTCAAATCTCTAGTGCAACCAGAGCAGGTTTATAGCTGGGATCAGACTAGCTGTGCCAGAGCCGGGCCCTGGAAGGGGCAATGGGGGGCACCTCTGGTGCAGCCGGGCGTTGGAAAGAGCCCCGGGGAGCGGCTGGAGGGGCCGGGC